TTTTTATTTTTTATTTTTTATTTCTTAACCAAATTAATTTTTAATTTTTAAATTTTTTTATTCTAAAAATCAAACCATACATAGTCTAAGAATCTTCTGATAAGTCATTTCTTACGTTGGTAACTTATTTAATGATTTGTTAATTTTATAACATTTTTACCATCTGAGGCCTATTTGGTAACCATTTCGTTTTCAATTTTCAATTTATATTTACAAAATTTTTTTAAAATGTCATAAAAACTTATTTGATAATTTTTTTGGTTTATAAATAGTTGTCTCAGTTTGTAAATTTAAGAAAAAAACTTAAATTCAAAAAATGAGTTTACGTTAATTTTTAAACAAAGAAATTTAAAAATTTTACTAATAATTTTTTTTTTCATTAATTATTTTTTTAAATAATTTTTTTCTAATTAATTTTTTTTTTCAATAAATTTTTTTTCCAACTAATAAAAAGAGTAAGAAACAAAAAAAAGATTATTGACAATCAAAATGATTGACCATTCAAGGATTAATTTGAAACAAAATTCATTACTTGCGTATCAATATCATTACATAGTCATCATTGAACAAAATAACATTTAATGTGCATTAATTATATGACCGAAGGTGATGCATCATTATCAAAGCTTATAGTCACAAAAAAAAAAAAAAAAAAAAAAAAAAAAATAAAACAAACCCCCCCGGGGTTTTTTAAAAAAAAAAAAAAATTTTTTTTTTTTTTTTTTTTTTTTTTTTTTTTTTTTTTTTTTTTTTTTTTTTTTTTTTTTTTATTATGATTTGTCGCAATCCCAGTAATTAAACATATTTTTAAGATATAATTCAAAATTGTTAGGCTTTTATTCTTGACAATCTCAGTTGACAAAATTCCTTTCAGTTGTATTTGTTTTCGCACTTTTATTTCAGTGAGGCTATAAGTTTCTTAGATGCGAATCCAACTCGAATTGTGCCGTACAGAGAAGTTTGTAATGTTAATACTTTCAAGATTGTCACTTCGCTGATTATGACGGGGATTGAGCTGTCTTGCTAAAAAAAAAAAAAAAAAAAAAAAGGGGTAAACGACGTCGTTGCCTTGCACCGTAGGATGGGCTGCAGGAAAACCCTGCAAAAAAAAAGGGCTTGTTGTAAATGACCAGTCAATTTCTTGAGTTGCTCCAGTCACACATCGTTTCTCGTGTGACACCATTTCTCTGAGCGCTCTCCCTCTCATCGTAGAGTACTTCTAATCATATTTTTTACTTTTCACTAGGTAAAATTTAAAAAATGTATATTTTTTATTTTATCAAATTAATTTTTTATTTATGTGTTCAAATGTGACTTTTTAAATATTCATCTACACAAATTATGGTACCATGTGGGAACTTGGTTCCCAAATTTTTTTCACATTTTTTCTATTAAAAGACAAAAATTTTACAAAATCAAAAAAAAAAATATAAACAAAATATCACATCCAACCCCATAATCATTTCATTTTTTTTTTCACAAATATCACATCTAATCACAAAAAAAACTCAACTATATTCTCAAACACTAAGGGTATGTTTGGTTTGTGTTTGAGAGATATGTTTTAGAGATAAAAAGTACGAAAAGTTGTTTGGTTTGGTTTTTCTCAAAAGATGTTTTGGAAAATTATTTTGAGAGAGAGTTTTGAAAAAAGTGATTGATTTGATGTGTGTGAGGGAGAGATTTGTTTGGAAAACTTGTTTGGTTTACAAGTTTTGAGAAATTTTTTTGGGAAAATTTGTTTGGTTTGATTACTTTTAAAAACTTATTTGTAGAGAAAATTTTCAAAAATTTTTTCAGAAATACAAACCAAACGAACCCTAAAATTTTTTTATCCAATAATATCCTACAACTAAAAAAATCTACATAAAAGCCTACTTCCCAAACACCATCTATATAAAAGAGTATGACCAATGAGTTTTATATTTTGAACTTAAAATTTAGGGGTATTTTTTTTAGGGTCCCTGATATTATGATTTTATAGTATAAAGGACATCAAATATTTTCATGATGTCTAAGGTCCCTCAACATCAATCCAGAGAAAATTGGTCCAGAGAAAATTCAACTCAGAGAAAATTGGTACATAGAAATTCTGAGAAGAATTTCTCTGGACAAATTTCTCTGGACTTCCCTAAACTTCCCACTGTAAATTTCTCTGCCCCTTTTTTTTTTAACATAAGAATTTCCCTACCTCAACTCACTTCCTTGCTATATACTACACCTGAGATGGTCTACAAGACAGCTAGAGCCATGGGGCTGCATTCCAACATCAATGTGCTTTACAATCTAAGCTGGTTTTTCCTCATTGATTCTTCAAGTTGAGGATTTTCTGTCCTTATCTGTAGAGAAGTAAGTGTTAGTAACAATGTAAACATGAATTCAGAAGTTTTAAGCTTGTTAATTAGATAGATAAAGTATTACCTTTGAAGCGAAAAGTAGATTTAATTGGTAGCATTCTAACACAAAGTGTAAGATTAATGTAAGCTTTACCTTTTCAATGATGTCGAGATAATATTTACACTCAAGCGCATAATTAATTGTGAAAACTTTTGCTACAGTGAATTATGAGTTTGGCTTTTGGATATTGGATTCTGTCAATTTTATTTGGAAGACAAATGTTTGTTCAATCATTTGCTCTATAACTTTTATAGTCAATTCATCTTCATCATCCTGTGAAGTTTGTTGGACAAAGCTAATTAGTAATCAGTAAAAAGGTAACCTTAATCAATATTAAAGTTGCATTACAGGTTAGAACTGAAATTTCTCTGGGTTGGTCCAGAGAAATTCTCTGGTTTGAACTGAAATTTCTCTAGGTTGGTCCAGAGAAATTCTCTGGTTTTCTGGCAGGCTCTCCATCAAACCGAGCAGCCCAAAGTTGGTGACTGGTTGTTTTCATTGATGAGGGAGAGAGGACTGGTCAGCCATCGCCTCGATGGCGGAGGCGGAGAAGCGACTGGCGCTACGGGTGAGCTCCGGCGACGATGGAGAGGGGTCTCCGGTGGATCTGAGAGCGGAGAGGAGGACGAGGTGGTGCTCAATTCGGAGTCCGGAGAAAGTTGCACGATCGGCGAGCCGTGTAGAACGGCTTCGACAGCGGCGTGGTAGAGGTGCCAGTTTCCGGACCAGAGCAAGCCAGCCGCGCCGTAGATCGGGTTCACGATACGCCCACATGCTTCATATAGTAATGAAAAGATCGCGGGACGGAGGTGATCGGGGCCAGCATTGATGAGGTTTTGGAGGCCGGCACGGCCGTAGAACTTGGCGAGGAAGACGGTGGCGTTGGCTTGGGATTCGGGGGTTTTGATCCACTGTAGGCAGGGTCTTATGGTGCAGTTATCACTGCAGCCTTTGCGAAGGACTCTGCATCCATTACAGCTTACTCGCATGGCGGCTTCTACTATACTTAACACTTTCTAGAGAGAGATGAGAGGTCCGGCGGGCGGCCAAGGCGAGGCTACCGCCCGCCGGTGAAGCGAAAATATTAGGTGCTCAACCTTGCTCTGATACCAAGTTAAAATAACTGATGTATTATTATTGATGTATTGAAAAATATATATTACACAGAGAAGGCACTCTCTTTTATAGAGAGAAATGGATGAAACATTGGATACCAACAAGACCCACTATCACCGAAAGCAACAAAAGGAATAAAGCTAAAGCTATACAATTTATATACTAAAGCTAAAGCTAATTAACAATTATAAATTAACAATTATATATTAACAAGACGCTAAGGTGTGTGATCTCATTGATACAGATAGAGGCTGCTGGAGAAAGGATGGTCTTAATGCTAATTTTGCTCAATTTGAGGTCAAACAAATTTCTGGCATTCCTTCGAGCTCAAGAGTTTCATCGGACATAGTGGTTTGGCATTATACAAAGAGTGGTAAATTCTCTATTTGGTCTGCATACCATCTTGAAATGGAAATTAGAGGACTAGAGCAGATGTCTAACTCCTCGGATGGAGATATATTTAATAGAGAATTTTAGAAGAAGCTTTGGCATTTGCAAGTCCCAACGAATAAGAATTTTTGAGGGAAAGCTCGCTCCAATATTCTGCCGGTCAAAGGACTATTACAACAAAAGCAAGTCGTATTAGATGTTATATGTGATTTATGTAGGGAAGGTTTTGAAAAGATGGAAAATTGTCTTCGTGATTGCTCGAATGTGTCAAAACTATGCAAGGCATGCCCAATGTGAGTTTAGCTTCGAGGAGGTCGATGAACAGATTTTTCAAAGATGGATTCAAGAACATGCACTATAAGTAGAAGAATCTTATCTTAGTGTTGTGCCCAGGGACCAAAAACAAACACCAAACACACAATCACACAAAGAAAACAACAAGGTCAACGTGATTCAACAATACGTCTACATTCACGGGGCAATGGATTTCACTATATGGAGAGAAATTACAAAATCACAACAATGGAGGAGGAGAACACTCTTAAAACTCAACTCTCACACTCTTGTACACTCTGGTGGTGGCTGGCATAACTCTTGTTGGTGGATTGTTGCTAACTTTCATCCTCACAATTTGTGTATAAGTTGGGAGCTAAAGATTAGCCACTCTACCATAAAGTAGCTAGACTGAATCTTTAGTCCACATCTTTAGGTCCTTCATTTGTCTTCATCAGTAGCCTTCTTTGACCTTATTGAATCAGAGTCAAACAAACTACAGTTTATTCTTTGTGAAAAATCTAGAAACTCTAGATGTTGATTTGTGATTATGTACCAATTTTAAGCAGAATATAGCAATCCCAATTAAACAATCAAAGACAAATCAACACAACGATTTTACGTGGAAAAACCACAATTGGACACCTCCAACTGTGATTAAAAAACCACGGGCAACAGCCATAAAAACAATCCACTAAGAAGATTTAAAGGAATTACACAGGTATACTTTCAATTACCTAGCGAATTCACGCCTAATTAAACCAACCTCTATGTGCCTCTTCCAACTTCGTCTTCACCTCGGAATTGTCTTTACAATGAGCCACTCTAGAATCCACCGAAGTTTCAGGCTCGAATTCTTCATCTACCAAAGAACAACTCTCTCTTTTGTATAACAAACGAAACCTTTAATGTACTCTCTTTTAAACCATGGGTTGAATATTCAATAAAAACATCAAAGAAAACCTAACAAAATATCTCCAGATATAAACCTTATGATCCAAAAAGAAGATCTGGAGAAGTACACTTAGCTTTGGAAGAAAACCAAGCATTTATAGAAAACCAAAAGTAATCCTAGATTTGGAAGAAAACCAACTCCTTAAGAAATCTGGATTTTGAATCTCGCTCGAGTGAAGCTTTTCTCGCTCGAGCGAGGAGCTTAACTTTCGTGATTTCTACTAGTGCCTTGGCTCGAGCGAGCAATCAACTCTTTCAGGTTTTTGTGTGGACGCAATCCGTCGCTCGAGCGAGAACTCCTTGGCTCGAGCGAGCAAGCCTTAGCTCGAGCGAGCATTCCTTGGCTCGAGCGAACAAGGGCGGACCTGCAATTTTGAATGCAATTTTGCATTTTGCTTCGGCCGCAAGCTGACCAGGCAGCTCGACCCCCGTAATATTTAGCGAAGTGGCAATCTTGAAAGTATTGACATCACAAACTTCTCTGCAAAGCACGATTCAGGTTGAATTCGCCTCTAACAACTCATAGCCTCACTGAAATAAAAATGCGAATAAAATTACAACTTAAAGGAGTTTTGTCAAACGGGATTGCTAAGAATAAAAACCTAACACTTTGTGATTTGTTGGAATTTTTGGTTAGCTAGGAATCGGCTTGTCTTCCACAAGAAGTGTTCTACACCCATGGATGTCTTTAGTCAGACAGGTGAGGAATTTCAGGAGTACTAAAGGTTTAGCAAGGGTTCAAGTGCTGCAAAGTCGACCTGGCACTTGTGCATGGGTTGCGCCTTGCTCTAATATTTGTCAGTTGAACTTCAATGGGGCTATTTTCAAAAAAAAAAAAAAAAAACAAAACAAAACAAAAATTTCAAGCGGCAGGTGTGGAGGTGATTGTTTGGAACCACATGGGTGAAGTAATTGGAGCTCTGTCTGAATGCATCCTTCGGCTAATGGAAGCAAACTATATCGAAGCTGTGGCGAGGGAAAAAATGGCCAAATTGGGCCTTCGTGACATCCACTTAGAATGAGATTCATTAGATGTGATAACTAATATTGCTAAGGTAGAGTACTCCCTCTCTCACTGGCCATGTCACGCGAGGAATAGCAGAATTCGGGGCATCATTTCAAAGCTTTTGTGTTTCTCATGTTGGTAGGCAAAGGAACAACGTTGCACATCATCTTGCTAGGATAGCCTCCGCTGATTACCCACTGCAAGTGTGGTTGGAGGAGGTTCTAGTTTCTATACCAGCTTTAGTTCAGTTGGATGCTTCACATTGATGTTCTAGCTTTTACCAATTCTTAATCTTTTTTTTTTTTTTTGTGATCGGGGTGAGCCCCGACATGAATAAAATAAGTTGGTGTGCAGTTCATCTTCTTCCTCGGTGTTGTTTTTTTTTTTTTTTTTTTTTTTTTTTTTTTTTTTTTTTTTTTTTTTTTTTTTTTTTTTTTTTTTTTTTTTTAAAAAAAAAAAAAAAAAAAAAAAAAAAAAAAAAAAAAAGAGAAAGGAAAAAGAAAAATGACATGTGAGATTCTCCTCTATGTATTTTGGGGTTAAAAAAAAGGCTTTGACTATAAGCCTCCCATGATAAGATAAGATTTTACTGGTATAAAAAGACATAAGGAAAAAACATGAAATGCAAGCCCTCTAAACTTTTGGAGGTTGTTTTCTAACCACATGTCCCAGTACTAATGTTTCATAAGCAACGTTTTGCTTTCAAATTAAAGACTTAAAATTTTAATAATTTTTTATTTGGATCTCTATTCTTTTATTTATAAAATTTGTATTTTAAAAAAAATTCTCATCGACATTTATCAAACAAGCTATAGAAATGAATATGAACTTTTGAATTCAATTTTTTTTTTTAATTTTTTTTATCAAAGTTGTATTTTTTTAAAGGGGTATTTTTTTTAGGGTCCCTGATATTATGATTTTATAGTATAAAGGACATCAAATATTTTCATGATGTCTAAGGTCCCTCAACATCAATCCAGAGAAAATTGGTCCAGAGAAAATTCAACTCAGAGAAAATTGGTACATAGAAATTCTGAGAAGAATTTCTCTGGACAAATTTCTCTGGACTTCCCTAAACTTCCCACTGTAAATTTCTCTGCCCCTTTTTTTTTTAACATAAGAATTTCCCTACCTCAACTCACTTCCTTGCTATATACTACACCTGAGATGGTCTACAAGACAGCTAGAGCCATGGGGCTGCATTCCAACATCAATGTGCTTTACAATCTAAGCTGGTTTTTCCCATTGATTCTTCAAGTTGAGGATTTTCTGTCCTTATCTGTAGAGAAGTAAGTGTTAGTAACAATGTAAACATGAATTCAGAAGTTTTAAGCTTGTTAATTAGATAGATAAAGTATTACCTTTGAAGCGGAAAGTAGATTTAATTGGTAGCATTCTAACACAAAGTGTAAGATTAATATAAGCTTTACCTTTTCAATGATGTCGAGATAATATTTACACTCAAGCGCATAATTAATTGTGAAAACTTTTGCTACAGTGAATTATGAGTTTGGCTTTTGGATATTGGGTTCTGTCAATTTTATTTGGAAGACAAATGTTTGTCCAATCATTTGCTCTATAACTTTTATAGTCAATTCATCTTCATCATCCTGTGAAGTTTGTTGGACAAAGCTAATTAGTAATAAGTAAAAAGGTAACCTTAATCAATATTAAAGTTGCATCACAAGTTAGAACTGAAATTTCTCTGCTTTGAACTGAAATTTCTCTGGGTTGGTCCAGAGAAATTCTCTGGTTTGAACTGAAATTTCTCTAGGTTGGTCCAGAGAAATTCTCTGGTTTTAGCTTAGCTTTAACATGATCTGGATCAGCAGTTGGTTGGTCAATTTTGTTTATGACTGGGATTATTGTCAGGTTAGATTCAAAAGCAAGATAAAAGTTATCAACAATTCACTCCATTGAGTAAATAAACAACAATAGCAACATATATATATATATATATATATGTAAATTAAAAGCTGGCCCCAAGCTCCAATGCAAAACCACACCAAGAGGACTTCGGGGTTCGAACCCATCTTCTCCAAGCTCTCCTAGTGAAATTTCTCTGGGTTTCTTCATAACTACTGCAGTCTCACTGGGCTTTACATTTCCAGCACTTATTGCGTTGAAGTTAAATAAACAAGGACATGGCTTGAACGTGGTTGTAATGGATTGTTTCTTTGTTCTGTTGCGAGTTCATACTCTGGCCTCGGCTCATCTGATGAAAGAGTGGCCAGCTCTGGTATTTCATCTCTTCACTTGTAGGTGCTGCTGCCGGAGATTCGGAGTGGTGACTGCTGGGGCATGGGGTCTGTTGGGTTGATGCATGCGTGGTTTACACAGTCAAGGACTGATCGGACTCAATCGCTGGAGAAGGAAAGGCAGGCCGGGTCGCAGATCCGGACGGCGCGGAGGGAGGAGTCGGAGGAGAAGGTGTTGAGGAAGAGGTCATAGAGGAGGGTAGAGAGGAGGAGAAGAGAGAGAGAGAGAGAGTAGAGTAGAGACAAAGAGGCAAATTTCTCTGATATATGTTTAGGGACCTTAGACATCAAAAAATAATTTTGTGGATCTCTTCCATTACGAAAAGTGGGAGAGGGACCCTAGACCAATTTTCCCTTTTTTAAATTCCCTCATCTACAATTATCAAACAAGATCTATATATGAATAAAATTTATATTTTTGAAGTTCTTGCATAAATATTTTTATCAAATAAAATTATGATGAATTGAAAATTTTGAGGGAAAAAAATTGATGATCATTTCAGACGGTAAGTAAAATGTCACTATAATTTCACTTGAAATAATAAAAATTCACTTTGGATATTAAAATTTCATTATTTTCGAAACAATTTGAAAATAATAAAATTTTAAATTGAGAGCTAAAATTTGTAACTATATATAAAAACCACCATGTCCATATAGATATACTAGCGGTAACCAGTGCGATGCACGAAAAAATGAATTATATATATTTTGTGTGATAAATAAATCATCTTAAACTTAAATTATGTTTTAATAGTGATAAGCCATGATGTTAAGGCATCTGGATAGATGTTAACAATAATTAACCCATAAAATTTCACAATAAAATTTGATATACATAAAAAAATTATTAATTATAAAAATTGTTGAGAATAAAAGTATCACAATCACTTGATAACATAAATAACTTATATCAAACTAAACAAAAAATTAAAAGAGAAAAATTTTACAAACTCAGAAAAGTTATCATAAATTTACTTATACTTTTAAATTATTGGTGTATATTATTATTGTGGGATCAAATTATGAATAAATATCAACTTTTAATTATAATTTATAAGTAGTTTTTAAAAAAATTTAATCTAAGTTTGTTGCCTTACTCAGGAAAAGAACTTCTCAAACAAATCATTAATTGATTATGTTAGCAACTCTCTATCTTTGATTTCCTCTATCAATGACACATGCATATCATTTCAAAATATAATTCCTTCTCCATAGTTTGAATACTACTTGCATTGGTTCCTACATCATTTTAAAAAAATTAATCAAGATAAGAATTTCGTAGGATTGTAAAAATTATAGGGTGAATTATACTAACGGTCCCTATAGTTTGGGACTTGTATCACTTTGGTCTCTGACTTTTCAATATTTAGAATCTTGTTCCAAATAAGGACAATTGAAGATACCATTGAATTTTTCAAGGGCAAAATCATCAATTTGATAAAAATACAAACTAATTTGACAAAAATAAATATCAAAAAAATATTTTTGAATTTTTAAAAATTATTTCTGTCCACTAAAGATAAAATTATGTAAAATTTATAAATCTTTTAGACATTTATTTATTTATTTTTACTAAATTAATTTTTATTATGTGTTTGGATGATGATCATGTAAAATTAATCATGTAATTTTTATTAATTTTTATCAATTTTACATAATTTTATCTTTGGTGGGTAGAAACAATTTTTAAAAATTTAAAAATATTTTTTTGACATTTATTTTTGTCAATCAGATTATATTTTATCAAATTGACAATTTTGCTTTTGAAATTAAGCAATGGTATCTTCAATTGTCCTTATTTGGAATAAGATTCAAAATTCAAAGTCAAATGTGTTACAATTAAAAAGTAAGGGGACCAAAGTGACACAAATCCCAAACTATAGGAACTGTTAGTGTAATTTGTCCATTATTTCGTTTTCCCGCTCTCCCCCCTGTTTCTCACGATCTCAAATCCCCAACCCTAACCTAACACTCCCTCTCACTCTCCTCTCTTTTATCTCTTCCGCCTCCTACGTCGTCGGCTCTGGTGCCGCCCGCGGCGACCACCACTGCCGCCGCCACACCTCCTCCCTCACCGCCCTCTCTCTCTTCTCCTATTCTCTTCACCGGTCGTCTACTTCGTCTTCTCTACTCTCGTCGTCGGATCCAAAACCCTAACCCTACCTTCGATCTTCTCCAATCCCTTCACAAGCCATATGTTCAAATCCAGACCCTACACTCCCCTCAACTATTTTAGAACCTTTGTCTACAAAGGACTATTGTCGGACTCGTCAGAACGGCGATCTTGAACGGGCTGATTGCGATGAGAAAGACCAGGCGTCGAGGCATATTAACGCGTCAGAAACGAAATCAGAAGATGGACAGTTCATCTTTGTCCTAATTTTTCTCTCCATTTCTGCTCAAATATAAGTATGATATAGTCGTCCTCAATGTGGGTTTCTTGGGTTACTGGTACTAGTCGTAACTGTGCACTTTATGTGTTTGTTTAATTGACTGAATAGTGTGTTTGTTGGAACTACAAAATAAATTTGTCATGTAGTGGTTTAAATGCATTATAATATATATTTAGCAAGAAATACCTACTTAAAATTAATTATCCCTGCAAATTGTTTTGTTGATAAAATCTTTTGGTGTGTTCCATAGATTTGTGATCAAATTAGGGGAAAAAGAACATCTTTACACGTTTGTTTTGCATTTCTTAGTGGACCACCATGTGCAGCAGCACAATAATATTTGAGCATAGTAGAAGATACTATAACCTCTCCATATGCAGCAGCATAATAATTTTTAGCATAGTACAATGAATTTGAGAAGAACATACTACAGGCCACATTATCTGCGGACCTATGTTCGTAAAAAAAAAATTGTTTTATTTTAATTGCTGTTAAAATTATTATAATTTTATTTAGTAAGGTGATTGTTTTGTTGGAAAGAACATGCCTATGAGTTCTGCTCGCATGGAACCCAACTTGCCTTTTTCTCCAGTTTTTTAGGCCTACGGGATTTCATACTAATTATGTGATACAAAGAATGCTCCAAGCTTTTGCAATATGAATACGAAAAGAAAAAAAAAGAAGTCATTTGCATGGAACAAAACTTTAGAAAAGTAATAAATAATAATCATAGAAAACACAAACAGAGAAAAAAAAATAAATACCTACTTAAAATTAATTATCCCTGCAAATTGTTTTGTTGATAAAATCTTTTGGTGTGTTCCATAGATTTGTGATCAAATTAGGGGAAAAAGAACATCTTTACACGTTTGTTTTGCATTTCTTAGTTGACCACCATGTGCAGCAGCACAATAATATTTGAGCATAGTCGAAGATACTATAACCTCTCCATATGCAGTAGCATAATAATTTTTAGCATAGTACAATGAATTTGAGAAGAACATACTACAGGCCACATTATCTGCGGACCTATGTTCGTAAAAAAAAAATTGTTTTATTTTAATTGCTGTTAAAATTATTATAATTTTATTTAGTAAGGTGATTGTTTTGTTGGAAAGAACATGCCTATGAGTTCTGCTCGCATGGAACCCAACTTGCCTTTTTCTCCAGTTTTTGAGGCCTACGGGATTTCATACTAATTATGTGATACAAAGAATGCTCCAAGCTTTTGCAATATGAATACGAAAAAAAAAAAAAAAGAGTCATTTGCATGGAACTTAAAAACTTTAGAAAAGTAATAAATAATAATCATAGAAAACACAAACAGAGAAAAAAAAAACTTCGGTTTTGGTTAAAGGCAAGAGAGGCTTTTGGAATATTGAATTTAACTTGAACTGAATTGGATGCACATGGCTGATGTTAGATACTGATATCGCACATTATTCCGCAGAGAGCGCAGGTATTTTCAAGTCTCCAATTGTGCCTATATAAAAATGTTTGTGAAATTTGATGTATGGCATGAAAACTTAAACAAAATTCACTTGGATTTATGTGCACCATGTATCATTTCTTAAAATCATGTGTTTTTTTGTTCAGCAACATTGCAGAGGTTATTACAAAATTCACTCAACTGACACCACAATAAAGGACAAAAAGGTCAGTACAGATATGCTTTAAATCTATGAGGATGAAGAGTTGTAGAGTTGTTTTTCTTTTCTTTTTTTTTTTTGGGTTAAATTTTAACTACATTTGTCACAATGTCACAAAATAATTTTTATTTGAATGACCAGGAAGTTGGAGAGCCTTGAAGTAAGATTAATACTGCCCGTTCTCTAGTTCCTCTGTTTTCATTAAATATGAAATGATAAACGTATATCATATTCATTCAAGCCTTTTGGTGTTCTATTTGAGAATATAGGCACTGAAGAAAACCTTTAAGAAGTTGGACTATGATGCAAATATACAAGACTTTTTGGGTTCAAGGTTTTTGTTTATTTTGATGAATCTTTTAAATCTTAAGGGATTAACCCTCGTGAAAGAAGTAATGTTTTTTTTTTTTAATCTGTGCATAGTAATAAAAATAGTTTTTTTTTGATTATATGCATATTTCCACCAACAGTAAGAAAATAAGAAATTTTTTAGAAAAGAACTTCATGTTTATGACTGGCTTTCATATAGAAAAGGTTTGCCAAGATTGACCTATTTTGCAAGGTTTATTTATTAGTCCCTAGCCTACTGGTTCTGAGTCTTAATAAATCTGTCGCTCTGCAGGACGCATAACACTTCTTTGTGAAGGATGCCGAGGGTCATTATCAGAGGTATAAAGAGATTGTCTCTTATGGCTGCAGTATTAGCTATGGTTTCTACAATTTTCTGTCCAATCCTATGTTCATTAACTAGTAAGAACTTAATTTTGTTTTCTCATATGCAGAAAATAATGAAAAAGTACAATTTGAGGGAGAAGGTGCAGGGACAACATCAAACTTATGCTCTAGGAATTAAAGAGGTAAATTTCTCTTGTTCTTAGTAATTTTTCTTGCAATAGCAGTTGCATTTATTTTTCTTATTTTTTTGGGTTGGAGGTAGGGGCAATCTAGGTTGGAAATTTGATACATTGACCTATACGTTTTTGTTTTTGAAACTTGTCACCAATGGTGGGCCTTGGAGTAACAGTAAGGTTGCTCTATTGTGACATAAGCATGAGTGTTTTGAAACACGAAAACAACCTATCTACATGCGGGAATAAAGTCTTGTCAACTAAGCTATCCATTTTCCAAATTAACTTTAATGCATCATATTATCAATTTGCACATAATTCATTGAGGAAACCGCTTTTCAGAACCTTGCTTCTAATGCATATGATTTAATTGTTATTAATTTTTCCTAGAAGCATGGTGAATCCATAAAAAGAGCCTTATGGCGTAGTTGAAGAACTAGATGTTTTATATCTAATGGTTGTTCTTCCGCGATCCTTCACTTTTGTGAGTAGTTTTACTTTCACAAAATCTCATTTGACCAAATAATTTAAGAGAGAATCTTTTGGAGGCATGTAAAATTAGAGTACTAGCCAGTAAATGCATCCCCAATATTTTTCTAGCTTGTGCTTAATTCTTGAAGCGAATTTTATCAGGTTTGGGAAATTGATTCAAGTAAGCATGAACCTGGTCATGTACTTCACACCTTGGGTTGGCCATTGGATAACAAGACGCATGGGGGATCTTTTCTATATCATACGAAAGACAGACAGGTATCATTTGCCCTTGCTTTATAGCTCTATATTAATTAAGGATACAATTTAGTGTATTAATTTTACTAATTACCTTAGCTTCTTGTGTTACATTATATGGTGTACAAAGGTATGTAATTGTATAAGTGGAGGATATACTAATAAAATGAAATGCTAAATCTACTCAGAAGTCGTTTATAAAAATATGGTTAACAATGCTAGAAATTTTGTCCTTTTAAATGCATTAGTCGTTATGTGATAAACGTTTTCAAAAGGAGAGAAAAAAGAGGTGGACGTCGATGTATAGTTCAGAAAGTGGATGGAGCAACCTTGTTGACTTCATAAGTTCTGATGCTTTAAAATTGGAATTTACAAGTTATTAATTTTTTCCATTAGCATGCTCCACAATGAAACCCTAATTTGGGCACCTAAATGAGATGTTTCCTCGGTCGGATATACAGGTTTCTCTTGGCCTTCTTGTTGCTTTGAATTACCACAACCCTTTCTTGAATCCTTATGAGGAATTCCAGGTATTTTTTATTGTTATTTTTGCAATGTTTATTTATATATTATATACGGACCTACCTTCACATAAGTCAAGATTGCACATTTTCTTTTTCATATGTGTGAGTCTCTCTCTCTCTCTCTCTCTCTCTCTCTCTCTCTCTCATTTTTTGTAAAATGAAAATCTGTTACTGTTTATAATATAAAATGTTACCAAAAGTCTATAAACAGTTTTCTTTCTCTGTATATTCTTCTCATACATTGATGTAGGAAACAGCAGGACCTTGGAATGTTGCCGCTTGCAGTTAGCTTAATGGCGGTGGGAGTCACATTATGCTTGTTGGTTAGGATTTAATAAACTGGAAGAAAGGTTGTAGGGCTTTCCAATTGTAAAGAGTTAGAACTGAGTTTTTAAAGTGAAAAGGCTGTTGGATTTTCAGTGAATAGTTTGTCAGTAGTTATTGACAGCAAGTATTTTAAGGTTTCAGTGCTCAATTCAATGCCAAAAAGTAGTGGAAAGAGTTAGTGTTGATTTTGGATTGACAGGATAAATGAGGGACTGAATAGGCACTACCCGTGAACAGTAAAATCTGACTAGTGTCTAAGAAGAATAAAAGTGAAAGAAGCAAGAGAAGAAGAACCTGGGAATTCGTTGGGAATCACCTTTTGTGGTTAGATTGCATCAAGCATCATACAAATCTAGAAAAGGGTTCCCTCCATAGGGATGATGATCTGCTGAGTTTAGTCAACAAATAGGATGGTTGGATCAATTGTAACCATCATATTTGTCTCATATCAATTGTATGGTAAGAAGTATATGGCAAACAAACTTGAATGACAATATTGTGAGTGGGTTTGGTAGGTGATGTTTATTGTTCAACCCATAAAAAAATGTGCAAAACCCAGCTCATTTAAAAAAAAGAAAAAAAAAAGAAGAGAAAAGAGTCAACTGAAGCTAATGCAATAGGCTGTCCTGCTTTCAAAGAATATATAAACTTTTTTTTTTCTCATAGCTATTGACTTGTACTGGTTCCAAGTCTTTCAATGTTTGTTTGAGCGGTTCTTTTATCACCTAAGTTTACTTTCTTAGAGAATCCCTTAACAGTTTTTTATTATTTTGAAGTCTGTAATCCTATCAGGATTTTTTTCCTTGGATAGAGTGTATCTCTTTACCTTTTAGGTATTTATCTACAAAGTGCAAGCATAAGGTCTTACTTTTTGAAGTCTGTAATCGTATCAGCATTTTTTTCCTTGGATAGTGTATCTCTTTACCTTTTAGGTATTTATCTACAAAGTGAAAGCATAAGGTCTTACTTGGTCTCTTGTGTATTTATCTACAAACCAGTTTTTTCTTGGTTTTTTATTTTTTTTGTTTTGGGGGGGGGGGGGGGAGCATGGCATGGGGTTATTATCATTTCACTATCCATGGGAATTATAGCTTAAGCATGAAAGGAGTTCTTATGGCCATGATTATTGAGCTAATTAGTTTATTAATAATAAATTAAAGTACTCAGAATTATTTTCCTGAAAAGTGAAGTCTCAGAAATATTAATCGTATTAAAATAATTTTAAAAAAAATACATACAGTTAGTATGGAGATTGCTGGAATAGTGACTGATCAGGCTGCGAAGTTTGAGAACATGAGTTCAAGTCTAAAGAGCAGATGTGTTGTGTAAATATAGCTTTGTAATATTATAATCTTGGTAGCACAAACCCATTTCTTTACTAACTTTGTCACGAATGAAAATTATGTTTTTTTTATTAGTTCCAATTTACAAAATTTAATTTCGTTGTCTTGTTGACAGTTACTTTGCGCCTGTTAAGCTTTGGGTATGACTACCATTGGGTATTTCTTTATATGCATGCAATGTTCTAGAATCCACAGAAGTCTTGGAGTGCACATATCAAAGGTGATATTTTGTTCATTGGTTATTGTAAATCAACAATAGAAATTGAAATATACATGATGTATTTATTTATTTTATAAATGTTTCAAAACATATTTAAGGTGCATAAGTTGTATTTTGAATAATGCATAACATTGATACTATGAAGAGATTCTTCGCATGGTCTGTGAAGTGTCACAGCTGAAGTGTCCATAGGTGTTTGTGAAGTGGTCAATTTTATGAAGTTAAAATTTTAAATAAGACATATTGAAGAACTGTTGAATATGATGCTTTTAGAACTGTTGAATATATGCTTTTAAAAGTAGGATGATGAGTCGAGTTTCTGTAATTTCCCTCAGTTTCTGTAATTAGTCTGGTATGCAACTTTTTCCCTTAATTAGTCGAGTTTCTGTGTTTGCTTATCTATGTTATCCATCATTTTCCCTTCAGGCCAACGCCACTTGTAATTAGTCTGGTATGCAACCTTTTCTCTTTCCCCCCTTCTCTCTCTCTCTCTCTCTCATCTTTTGTCACATGTCTACGTCTGTGCTTCGTAGATAGGGAAAATATGATCAAAATTTACAATCTAATATTATAACATACTTTTTGTAGTCCAACTAAAAATTTCTGACAAATATGATTTACAAACTCTTATTTGTTTGTAGAATAACCAATGACTCCCTCCATCTCAAATTATTTGTCTATTTTTACTATTTCTGACATCTCAAAAAATTATTTATATATTTTTAATTTATTCTTTTTCAATCATTTTCAAAACTTTATTTTCAAGATAGGCAAATTTAGTCATGATGGTTCATATCTGGATTTCAAGATTTTATTGAAAGCTTTACCATGATAGATTATGATGGATTGGAAATAGAAATGTAAAAAGTAGTTATGTTGAAATCCTGTGCTAAAAGATTACAGTTGTACAAAGATCATAATAATATATTTCTCATCTTACTCTACCATTATAGTTTCTTAATCTATCTATAATAGTCAATCCGTTCATTTGAAATTCATTTATCCAAGTGGAACCTAAATGTTTCTATATGTTTGTGGGAGCTACAGCTTCATGTGCAGGCTGCGCTTTCAGTTCTTCTTGCGACGCTTGCTAGATTTGGAGGCACAATGAGTGGGACCGCTATTCTTCTCGAGACTCTAAAATTGAGAAGACGATGGCAAGCTTGGTTAAATCAACAACCAAGTTCTCAAGAGGTAACACAGCCACATCAGTTGCCTGAAACTGCATATATACCACAAATAAATCCTCCCACCCAAACTGAAACCGTGGACTCCAGAATCGAGTGACGCAGCTGATTCAATGTTATGTTACAGCTCTAAGCTGTATGTAAATTTTGGATGAAAATATCAGTGCAACTGTACAGTCCAGTTTTTCCTCGATCTCTTCAATCAATAGTTCAAGACCGTTTTGAATTATAGTTTCTGGAGAAGACTTGGACTCCAAACCTTGTGTGCATTTGTAGCCCCAATAGGATATTTGAACTGAGCTCTCGTGTGTTCAAGTAATCAATGACATTGTACAGGCATGGGACTATATAAGCTTTTGTTTCTTTTCTTTCCCAGTTGAGTGAATTGTGAAGTTTGTCATACCATACAGCTAAGCATTTGATTGAATGATATATCATATTCTGTTGCATTATTATCAATGTTGGATACTCCATATAACTCCATCAATTAGTTTCAGATCATCGAGGTGAGACAATCCGTCTATATTGTTTTTTATTTTCTTCTTTTTAGATCCCGCTTTAAGATCTTGTATACTGAATCATCTTTTATTCGAATTTGGCTTGGATATAATTTCATACTGCAGTTAGCATAAGGTTGTTTGAATCTTGAATTGTGATAGGAATAGAACATGAAACTAAAGTACAAGCGTTCCAACAACACACACCCCCCCTCCCCAAATTTTTTGTTTGTTTGTTTAGTCATCTGTAAAAATAAATAAGTTAGATATCATTTTTCTATGAACAACCAATTATTAATGAAAAATAAACTATGTAAATTAAAACTTTAAGAAAACCAGTGTAATGCAACTTATCAGATTTAAATGTATTTTTTTCCAAATCTTATGCAAAGGTTGGTGTAATTTACCCAAATAAGTATGCAAAGTAACTATATTTTCCATTAATTTTTTTTTTGTTTCATCTAAATCCACAATCCAAACACAGCCTTAACTACTGCCTGCTTCATACAATCTACCTATTTCATGTGACCAATTGCATGATATATTTACTGTAGACCACCAGAATTTGAGCAATTAGATATAAATTGAAAGTGTACAACTATCCAATTCCAATCCCTCAAGAAAGTAGAGAAAAAGAAAATTTCGAAAAAAAGAAAAGAAAAGAAACTGCAATTTCAAAAGAAAAATAGGGGTCAAAGCGCACCCCCCCCCCCCCCCCACCAGAAAAAAAACCTGCAGATTATATATTTGAAAGAAGCAACTTCCATTATTCTGCTCAGCCATTCCAAGCTTACAAGGTAGGTTGGGCAGTGTCTTCTCAATCTCATATGATGATATCAACTGCATTTTCATCCCTTGATATACAATGGAACCATTTTTAGTCTCCATGCACGCATGCTATGCAGGCTTTGCCATTTCCGAGCAAAACAACCAGATGAAAAGGAAGGAACAACCAAAACATCATGTAGAAACGGGACTTCTTGAAAGATCGCTTATGTCTCACTTCTAATCACTGTTTCATCACGGTTTGTAACTAGAACTACCAACTTTTCCCAACAGCAATGACTTTTCCTTCAAACTCGTGCTCAACGCAGAATCAGAGCTGTTCGATTGGTTTTCAGAAAATCCAGGTCTCATCCAAATCTTGATGTGTCCCTCTCGGCAGACAGTAAGTACAGATTCCTGAGTAAATACCAAACCAGAGAGGGGTTCGGAGTGAACACGGTGTGCAACCAGTGGGGAGAGTTTTGGAACATCTCGTGTGCTTGGCGCGGTTTGCAGAGTACCCACTGGGCAAGCGCTGTCCCAGTGAGCGGACTGATTTCCAGTGCTGTAAGTGGGGGACCCACCAGGAGCTCGGCGCAGTGGCACAACAATTTCATCCATCTCTATGTCCCACAAAAGCAATTGCGTGTCCTGCATAATAACAACATTAAATTGTGAAATGAAAAAGACATTAAAGTAAGCATATAATGATGATAGAAATACTTTTAAAAAACAGAATCAAACTGTTGAACAGTGACAGAAGCAATGATAAGCCCAAATTTAGAGACGTCACAAGATGGCAGTGAAACATAATTTTTTTCTTAGGCACCATAAAATGGCAACATATTATGAAATAAAATAAATAATTGAATCAACTCACAATAATAGAAGAAAGAATTTTGAGGATAGAACATAAATAGAAAATGATAAACGATCAATAGTCTCAGCTTATCCTAAATTTATATGAATCATAATCATGACTTTCTACTAGGTCTCCTAATGATTTCTGGTGATCATTTATCATTTTCTGTGTGCTACCTATCCTCAAAATTCTAGTCTCTGCTTATCCTAAATTTCTCTGTCTGGTGCTCAAAAAAAAAAAAATTTCACTGTCATGCTTGAGATTCATAGTAGATAGTCTAATGAAACTCCTCACAATTTTTAAGCCATACCACTGTCATTGTTTAGCATCAAAAATCATTATGACCTATGAAGCACCCGACACTTCAAAATAGGTGCCATGTCTGTATCGGATACGTTAATGGACACTGACATGCTGGGGACACGAGTGTTCACATGTCGTACACACCATGTGACATGTCAATTTTTTTAATTATTATTTTTTTGCAAGGCACTTCACAGACATGCGACTAGACATGCGACTGTGTTTGGATATGCCTCAAGACACCTAGTCTTTTTTTTTTATATAATTAAGAAAGATGATTTGGGATCAAAGCAAAATATATGAAAATACAGGAGGAAAGTGAAGGGAAAAAGAAAAGAAAAGAAAAGAAAAGATACACCCACATATACAATGATGCTTCTTATATATGTTCCCTAAATTTATATGCATATACATATCAAATAAGAACATATATAATAAAATAAATTTCATATTTTCACCGTGTCCATATCCTAATTTCTCAAAATTTTCGTGTTCCATGCCTCTATTTGTGTTTGCTTCCGTGTTCATGCTTCTTACATTATGACATTCAGCCTAATGTGTATTGTTGACCAGGAATTGCAACTAATTACCTCTAACAACCAGCCAGATTAATTATAAAGATCAAAGAAATCACAAGTGCCAAGACCACCTGAGAACTGTCAAATCTGATATGGAGTTCTAGGTCTCAGTTGCAAAGAATTTCACAAACACTGGATGACAAGGAACCATTTAATCAATAATATTTAACAGTATGAAAAAAGAAATTATGTGAGTATACATCCACGAAATATGATATTCATTATGTGAGTATGCATCCACGAAATATGATATTCAACTATCACTGACAATAATGAAAGACTAATAAGATACCTGGCCAACAGAACCAAATCGGTACATAACATTTTCTTCTGAGCCATTCGAATTTGGCGACGACCAATATGAATCGAAAGCAACTCCACTGACCTGTCACCCACCAATCAAAGTGAATGTGGAAGTCATGGCGCTTGAGAGGAAACTATGAACTAATACCATCTATTGAAAGAAACTTACCCATGAGTTGTGTCCCTCACCCCATGCTACAACCTTACGATCTTTCCATACTCCAAACTTGAACTAGATCATCTTCACCTCCAGTCAAAACGTATTTTCCATCCATGCTGTTGAGTAGCAGTAGTTGTCAAGAATACTATTCTCTTTAAATGGATTTAATAGCTAGTCTAAAAACAACACCTAGGAAAAACAGTATCATTTTACAAAAAGAAAGAAAAGCTACAACAATAAAAAGGCGTAAACTATTATGAAAGGAAAACCACAAAAGCTTCTCACCTCCAAGCACAACATAATACAGCACCATAATAGCTTTTGCCACCACATATCAGTTGTTCATTTTTGTAGTCAAATACACGAAGATAACCTACATTCATTGATTAGTTAAAGCCCATATATACCACTAATAAATACAAATGGAAAAGAAGGTAAATTTAGAAAAAAAAAAAAAAAAAATCTGTGAGACACACAAGGAATCAAGACAGTACCATCTCTTCCAACAGTCGCAATATAGGTCCCATCAGTTGAAAAGGCAATGCTGTTAATTGAACCTTGGCAAATATGCCATCTAGCAACTGGGTTCTGCACAAAACCATCAATGAACTTACAGAAGGTAGAAGCACTGACATAGTTCTTCACTTAATACCATCTATATGGTCATGTGAGAAAAGCATTAAAATTTCACCATCTCCCCTCATTAGCATGCTTTGTTTGAATTCTTGACCTAAGCACAAGTTAGCAGATAAAAGTTAAAAGCCATATAAAGCCCTCTTTGGTCTATAAAATAATGATTATTTCAAGTGGTTCTATTTTGTTACTAAATAAATGCAGATACCACTGCAACAGACCTCCTGCAATATTTCAAAACACCAGGTCCAGGATTAAATTAAAATTCTTTTTATCACTTATTAAATACATAGGTTGTTGCTAAATTTAGAATTCAGAAATCATTCCAAGAAAACCGATACAGGTCTTTCACCAAACCCACAAGATTCAAAACATATGAAATAATAATCAAACTAAAAATTAAATTTGGTTAACAAGATACAAGGTGTCATGCTAGTCCCTCTGAATCCCACTTTATCAAAATAACCAAGTATTAATTCATCAAAGAAGATTCCAACAAACCTGAGTCCAATGTCTGTACGTAGAAAACAGGAAAAACACCATCACAACTATAATTAAGCTGTATAAAATAACTGTAGTGGCACCGATACGACTTGGACCCTTCTTCTTCTTGCTTTGTTGTAGCAGAGCTTGAGGTTTAATCCTTGCCATGATGTATAAGCCTCAACTCCCAAGGACTACAAAATCCCAGGATCCAGCACTCAGTTCCAAATCTATATAACCAAACACCATTTAAAGGAACTCCATAAAATATAAATCAAACAGCCAGGTTTTGGATCCAATCTGAACTTTCATAGAACTTCATTGGTATCTTTGAATAAGAAACACACACAATAAACAGAATTCAAGAGGGTCCAAAGTTAGAGATACATAGATAAGTGAGAAAAATAAAAACTTCGGATTTTTTTTTGAAGTTTGATCTACAACCGCTATGAAGTAACAAAAAATTACATAGAAAAGTAAATATTCATTCTTTACGATTACGGTTTTGAAATCAAAGCCCCAATGGCACAACTATTATCCACCTCAAAGATTTGAAGAAAAAACAGAAGGCATGGTAATCATAAATCATGTAAAAGGCACCAAAATTGTTGCCCATGTCCAAAATCTCCAAGACATAATTTATTTATAATCCTCAGAATTGTCATACTGACTAGAGATCTTAAAAAATAAAAATAAAAATAATAACAATAACTAATAATAAAAAACCAGTCATATTCAGATCGAAAATATTAAAGGAAAGGAACAGTCCCCGTCATATAAAGCTATATTTCTCAATGAACAACAAGTGCACCATTCAAGCACATCACTTAATTAATAGATATGTAAACAAACCACAATAATGTCTATCAAAAACAGATTTTTGAATCACTGCAAAGGAATTGAGATGGATATGGTCAAAATCATAACAGTATGTCATGTTTACTGTACGCCATTGCAAAATTAAGTGAAAAGTGATGCAAATGCAATTACAATATTCACAAGGAATCATTTCTCTACATCAACATGACCAGTTCAAGCAATTTTGGGCAAACCTTAACTTATCAAGAGCACCTCTTCTTTTCCTGCTACTACCACTGAGGTAACCTTTTTTATTTTTTTTTTATTTTTTTTTAATTCTAGACTTCCATTATTATGCATTAATCTCTACATTAATGTGACCAGGCCAGGAGTTCTCCAATGGACTTAACTCCATATTTGCTAAAAAAGACCAGTGCCTTTTAGTTGTCAATAGCCAGTACTACCTATGAAGAAGGGTTCAACCAACTAACCTCTTCTAAACAACAAGAAGTCGACCAATTATTCCTACTGCTTAGCCATTTTTTTGAAGATCTTGCCCTCACCAGGGTTGAAGAACTTTCTGGCAGCTTTCAAAGTTTTCTACCACTAGCAGCAAGAATTTTAGATCTTGACCAGCTTCAAATCCTCCAAGACTTCATGGGTCAACTTCTCCAATACCTTTCTTTCATGACATAATTTAAAGTTCAGATTGAGGCTGCTAATGCACAAATGGCCTTTGTAAGGCAAGTTTCTCACACATTGGCCAGTGCTGCTGCTTTGCAAACAAAGTGCCTTCATCAATGAGAAGAAGGCTTCCAATATTGCACAAATACAACAGTTGCAAGTAGAACTTACTGTAGCTGATACCTAGCAAACTCTCTTAATGGAGGAGCAGAGTAATATTAATCAACAAATGGACCAGTTGTTGGCAAAAGATGGCCCCACTGCCCTTAGAGATGTCCAAGTGAAGGCCAAAAGAAGGGCAATCCTCTCAGCTTGGGCTAGCTTTGTAATTGTTCTTCAAAGGGACTGAGATTTTTGTATTTATTTTTTCTCTTTTTTAGAATAGACATTAGAACTTTTTTTGTGTTTAAATTTTATAATGAAAAGAAAAATTTTTATGCATGTCTTCTTACTTTATGCTTGTCTAACATTTTCCTACACGGTTGGATAATATTTATTTAAATATTTACTATTTATAACTTTCCTATGTGGGACCCCTTCCAAGGATGCAAGGTGATAGGCTCCTCCTCTAAGGACCTTAAAAACCTTAAATGGTCTTTCCCAATTTGGGGACCACTTTCCAAATTTTGGATCCTTACTGCCTATAGGTAAGATAGTCTTCCACACCAAATCCCCCTCTGAAAGTATCTTAACTTTTATCCTCATATTGTAGACTCTCTCCACTCTTCTTTTTTGGGCAACAAGATAGCTATAAGCCATAACTCTTTTTCCTCTAAATCTTGTAACTCAACCATCATGGCCTCAGTATATTCATCAATTGGAATATCATAGTGTAAGGCCACTCAACTAGATTGGACAATCACCTCTCAAGGCAACATTGCATCATGGCCATATACCAATTCATAAGGTGTAGTACCAGTACTGTTTCTCTTGGAATTTCAATAGGCCCACAATACATTAGACAATAAATTGTGCCAATATCTAGGGTTCTCCTCAATCACCCTTTCCAAATTATTCTTTATTATTCTATTACTCAGCTTGCCCATTAGGCTGAGCATAATAAGGTGATGAATTGAGGATTGAAATGTCATATTCCTTGGCAGATTCACTAATCTCTTCCCTATTAAACATAGTTTCCTGATCAACAGTAATCGATTGGAGTAGACCAAATGTATGGATTATATGCTTTTTCACCAAGTCAATTACATGCCCTTGGGTTGCTACCATCAATGGCACTCCTTCCACCTACTTGGTGAAGTAATTAGCTACCACCAAAAGGTAAGAATGCTTTTTTGAAGAAGGAGAAAAAATTTTCCCAATCAAGTCCATTGCCCATCCTTTGAAAGGCTATGGCTTTATCACTGAATGCAAACCAATTGCAAGGACTCTTTGAAGGCTATCATGCTTTTGGCATGCCTGACATCTCTTAGCATAGGCCATACAACCCTTCCTTACTGTAGGCCAAAATAAACCATACCTGTTGATCATTCACCTCATTTTTTCTCTAGCTTGATAGGCACCACATATGCTTTCATACACTTCATCCATTACTTTCATCTGTTCATTTTGGCTAATGTATAATAAGGTCATACCATCATGGGCTCTATTGAATAAGTCATATCCCATGATGACATAATTCAAGGTTTGATACTTAATCTGCCTACTAACCTTCTCATTGGCATTTATAAAATATTTGATCAAAGGATGTCTCCAATCCTCTTATGCCACTTCCAAATTCATTACTGTCACGAAATTTCTCTTTTGGATCCCAATTATTCTTTATTGGAATCCTTTAGGAATCTTTAAACAAGAAGCCACTTGAGCCATTTCATTAGCCTCATTATTCTCCAATCGAAACATGTGCTAAAATGTCACATGGCTGAAGAAACTCACCAACCATTTAACCTCAACTAAATACTCTTCTAAGGCCTTGTTAGTGCACTTGTATTCACCTTTAACTTGCTTGATAACCAAATGTGAATCACCCAAAACTTGCAAGCTAGTGATTATGAATTCTATAGCCAATTCTAAACCTATAATCAAGGCCTCATACCTAGCTTGATTATTTGATAAGACATGTCGTTCATCTAACTAGTAAGAAAATTGATGTACTTGCTCATTAGGGGCAACAAACACAACACCAGCTCCAACCCCTTCCTTAGTTCTAGAGTCATCAAACATTAGTCTACAAGGGGTGTTTTCTATACAATTAATTTCAAATAAGTCCTCATTAATAGATGAACAAGGGTGTTTAGCTAAGAAATCAACCAAAGTTTGGCCTTTTACGACTTTTTCAGGGACATACTTGAAACAATACTCTATTAGAGCCAACAACCATTTGTCTTGTCTTCCCCTCATTATGGGTTTAGACAACGTGTACTTGATCACATTAGTTTGTGCGACCACAAATACTTCTGAGGGGAACATGTAATGCCTTAACTTAATGGCAGCAAAGTATAATGGCAAGCATAATTTCTCCATTGACTTGCTAATTCAAATGATAGAGCAAGCAACAACGAGGTGGAAAAAAGGCATGTTTCCAATCATATGCAAAGAAAAATACTGCAAATGGCTACCAGTTATGCTCTTGTCTCTTAGAAACATCAACAAATTATAGAGAAGAAAACAAGGAAAGTAAAAAAGAAAAAATTTTAGTGGTAAATTGTACTTACAATTTTTTTTTTTTTTTCTTTTCAAACTTGTTCCAGTTTTTCTTTTAAAATTTTTAGGATGTAGACCTAGAAAGCAAACTATTTTTACTCAAAATTGGAAAAAATTTAAAATAAAATAATGTATTCAGGGTTGGTTTGAGTAAAGTGTAGAAAATTCATATTTGAGAAAACAAAAAGAGAACAACAGCATAGCTGCGAAGCAAAGAACAAGAGAGAAGGGCATTGAAATTGATTTTTGTCCGACTGTCTCTGTATCAATAGAATTTGGGTAAAGTAGATAGAGAGATAGAGAGAGATACCCAGCGAGAACATCGAAGTTGTTAGCAACGACCTTGAGGAAGCTTCCAGCTCCAGATCCCATCTCCACCACTCCACGATCTCACTCTTTCTGAATCAGAAGAAGAAGATAGAAACTGTTAAGAGTGAGTGAAGGTTTCGATCGTCGGTTTGTGAAAGTGGTTCTTTTCTGATTAATTATGAGAAAAGAAAATGATCTTCCAGGAATTTTAGCATTTGGATTGGCGAAATGTTAGTGGTAAATTGCTATAAGATTTTAGGGGTTTGTAATGGCAGTAAGACAGCCTTGGATTAACCAATCCAAGTCCAAATCCAACCAGGTATCTCAAGGTAAAAGAGGACCTGTTTTTAATATAGAGGAAGGGAGAGAGAGAGACCGAGATCGACAGAGACGGAGAGACCGAGATAGACGGATCGACAGAGAGATCGGCAGAGAGAGAGAGACCGAAATCGACGGAGATCGACAGAGAGAGACCGAGGTCGACGAAGATCGACAGAGAGAGACTGAGATCGACAGAGATCGACAGAGAAGAGACACAGATCGACAGAGAGAGACCAAGATCGAGAGAGAGAGAAAAAAAAAAACCTGCAACAGCGGCAGTGGTGATTTGCGGCGGTGGCGATGTGCGACGGTGGCGTGCGACGGTGGCCAGCGATGGTTGGGTGGTGAGCGGGAGTGAGGTTTGGTGGTAACTGTTCTGTGTGTGTGGGTGAGAGACAGAACAGAGAAACCGTCGGTGGTAACTGTTAAGTGGTTGTCCCAAAATGTATACTCCTTCTGTGTTTATGAACCTTGAAATGAAGACTTACTCCTTTTTATGGTTACGTTGGTGGTAACTGTTCAGTGGTTGTCCCAAAATATTTACTCCTTTTGTGTTTATGAACCTTGAAATGAAGACTTACTCCTTTTTATGGTTACGTTGGTGGTAACTGTTCAGTGGTTGTCCCAAAATATTTACTCCTTTTGTGTTTATGAACAAGTGGTTGTCCCAAAATGTTTACTCCTTTTGTGTTTATGAACCTTGAAATGAAGACTTACTCCTTTTTATGGTTACGTTGGTAACCAACTGTTCAGTGGTTGTCCCAAAATAT